ATTTAAATTAAATGTGAAAAAAATCACATAAAAGTATATTAATTGCTACATAAAAAAGTAATTATTATATTAAAATTTAATATTAATATATTAAAAACTCATGTATAATATTTATATTAATTCCTAATATTTCAAATAAAAAATAACAATATCAATGTGAAAATTATTTTCTGCAAAACGGACATAAAAATTTGAATATATATATATATATATATCCATAAAGTTTTCTAAGGTAATATTAACAAATATTTATATAAAATTAAAGTCATTAAAAAAAATTCAAAACGTATAAATGTTGATAAAAAATTCTCCATTAAAAGTTATGACTTATTATTAAAAAAATAATAAATAAATATTTATATTAAGTATTAAAAATAATAATAATAATAATAATATTGAATATAAATATTGTTCTAATATTAAAAATATGCACTCAAAGCACGTTTTAATGAGATTTTATTGTCCATTTTTATTACTTTTTTCATCTCCCATAAATTAAGGTTTTATTGCTCATTATGCTAATATTGATTGTGTTAATAGCTCCAAACGATTTTCTATTTGAAATAAAAAATTGATTGAATTTTCTTTGATATTTTTTTTAATCTTTTTTGACTTATTTATAAGGTGGGTGAGGGCACATGTCAATGTTTTATTTTTCTTCTTCATACTCTAATTCTTTTATGTTTTGTGAATATATGACATTAATTTTATGAATTTTTTTTCTTCTAATGAGTTTTCATGTCGTTAGAAGAGTATGAATTATTAAATTAAAAATTCAGATATTTTAATTATTAAAAATATTTGATTTATCAAATATTCTTTTTTTAATGATTACCAATGAAATTAGTTATTAACAAAATTTTGAAGTTTTAATTCATGATATTTTATTGTGATCTTTGATATTTTCACAAAAATTATGATAATTGTGATAATTTTTTTTATCATTATTATTAATAATAGTGATTGTGAATGTTATAATATTTATATTATTTATTTCATGTGATTATTTTATAAGAAATTTTCTAATAAATTTTTTGTGCCAAGAAAAGAAGTGTGAATAATAATATAAAAGAAGAAAGTAATGTGTTGATGCGACCTATCAAGTATTTTTTTTTAGTAAATACACTAGCAATTGTTATAATCATTTTAAGAGAAAAATTCTAAAAAGTTTAACAAACAAATAGAATGTGCAAAGTATACGAAAAGTTATAATAAAATAAAATAGATATTGAATTAATTGCATTGATTTTATTTTAAAAAAATACTTAGTTGTATTATTTAATTAAAAATAATAAGATTAATTTGTGTTGATGAAATAAAATTAATTTTATAATATTATTTTTAAGATAAAAAATTGTAATATTACTTTAACTATAATTTTTTATATACAATATAAATATTTCAACGTATATATGATAACTATCGTGAAAAAAAATTTATATATTATATTACATAAATTATCAAAATAATTGATGGATCTAAAATGTAGTAAATTATAAAGAGTTAGTTTTTCCGCCGATTGATAACTATTGTGAACGTGCCAAAAAGAACAACTATTATGAACGTGAGGAGAACTTTTGTGATTTGGGAGTGGGAATGTCACTCACGACTTTGTTTCATTTGTTTTGCATCTAAATTAGTGGGATTTCGTGAAGAAACATAGCATCCTGATCCAGACAGGTTCTTATTAGAATACAAAAACTAGTCATTTTTGCTGCCACAAGGATTTATTAAAAGGTTAGACGCAATTCTCTTCTATCTTTGTCTACTTTAATTTAGTGCCAATGTTCTTTAATTTATTCAACATTTGCTGCAACAACATAAGATATTTTTCCCTTTATTTTGAACTTAAACTCTTCTTTCTCAACAAATAACGTGAAACTCATTCACGAGCCGGCTCTTCCTCCTCTAATATTCACATTATTGACTATTGTGATTGTGATACAATGTTGACATTTTGTTGGGATGTTTTTTTTTCTTTTTTTTCTTTTATGTCAAATTGCTGTGCCTCTGAAGAGAGAGAAAAAACATGCTCATGGGTCCAGCCAAAATGTTCTTAAGCTCTTCAGCCTAATTTTTTTCATTTTGTTTACTCCGATTATTTAATTGCAAAATATGTGGATAAATATGCATAAATTAGGATTCCCTGGGGATCAATTGCATAGAAGGAAAGCAAGACAAGGATTGCAGGTTAGAAGTGTCGGAGAACTATGAGTTTAATATTGGACAAATTAATCAAGCAAAAGTGTATATAAATATCAAGAGGTTGAGTATGTGCTTATAAATAAATCTTTATTTATTAATATGATGCTGTATAATTTGTCAAATAATTATATTTCTTATATATGTGATCAAGAGTTGGATTTCTATATATATATAATTATTGAGAGATGAATTTCTTAAATATTATCGGCCAAATATACCTTGGGTAACCAAAAATTATATATCTTTATTTGTTATGTGAGACTTTATAGTTGAACGATTTGGTACGGTAACATTCTACCTTGATTCCCCACCAATTTTTCAGGCCGGCCCGTGTTGAAACTAAATCGAAAGAAACATATGGGCCTGGCCCAATAAACTAAAAAAGGGTATTACTATGGGGCCCACCGATTCAATAGGTTTTGTCTGTGAATGCATAATATAATAATGTTGAGATAAGAAGTGGCACGAATTACTACGCGACCACGCCGATGACGAAAGCTACGAAGCGAATGGTGTACACTAAACAAACACTATCTGATCTGATAAATAATAAAGGGAGTTACGTATGTCCATTACCTAAGTTTTTGTCTCACAGGCAATTTCAGTTGAGCATTGACCCCTTTATGCACCAAAAAATAATCATATAATCCAAAAGCAAATGTAACAATTTCAGCATCATATTTGACTTTAAAATTTGACCTATACTGCAGGAGTGGTTTGAGAAGTGCCCCCCAACAATAGGATATTAGGATGCACCATTTTAGCAAGAAAACTCATAATGGCCATTTATATATTCTTCCCGGCGGGTACATGATATGTGAACTTCAACTACTCATGAATCAATTGAGCATGCCAAAAGTCAAGACTTTAATTTTATGATGGGTTTAAGGCTTTGATTTGAGAAAATGTTTTATGTCCTTTTTTTTATTATCATAAATATATTACAAAAAATATCTTACATTCACTGCTTATTATTTATAAAAAATATGTATACTTTCTTTTTGTATATTTCGTAGGCGGCTGAAACAATATGAATAAAGATGCTGTACTCTTGCTACAAATAGTAGTATATATTAATCATACAACGCTTACTATATACTATATATATGTTCTTGTTGTGCACCCAATCCAAGGGTTTCTTTATTAGCGTTGGATGGTAGTATGGATAAATTAACAGCAATAAATAAAATATTTGATAGTCCCTACATATATAGTTGAAATATGGGACCGAGGATAAGGTGTATGTATAGAGAATCACCAACCACAAGGCATTAAATTGGGTGATCCAAAAAATCGGATTGTAGAAATAATTTGTCTTTCAGATTTCAGATTAATAAACGCTTGGTTGCTACAGGATTGCTAGATTACAGCACTTAATGCCAAACCAAACTGTGGCCATGAGCACGCCACTTTTCTTTTCTAATGGATTTAACTTAAGGTATCGCATTTGCAATCAAAGCGGTCCCCCATGAATATAATAGATCATACTTTATCTCAAACAAATCATGCCTATTCATATAGTATTGATTTTTTTTAAATAAAAAAGTATTTCAGCTTGAAAATGGTTTCAAAAGCATGCTATATAATAAAACAATAAGTATATAATTTCATTATATTTATGATATACTATTTGATTAAGTATATTTTTTCTCTTAATTTTTTTTAATAATTTCAAGTCTGACACTTTAGGTAATTTTATCTTATTTAATAATAAAACTTTTAGTCAAATTAAACCCTAAACAGTGTGACCCAAAAATTCTTCTAAATTTATTATTAAAAAAAATTATAATTGCTCATCGAGAGCATTCACCCTAAAGCATTTTAGACAGGAGCTTAGGTTATGTTATCATTCATATTATTTTTTGTCTTATACCCCTTTGCAACTTAATTATATAAAGTGTCAAATTATTTGATAGAGATAGAGACAGAGAGAGGAAAAGTGAGATGTAATGAGTGTAAGAAAAATGTATTGAAAAGTGATCAACAGAATTTTGTATAGTATATGTTGAGTTTGGGGTCTTAGCCCGTGTTTGGATGCGCGTTGCCCCTGATGAAACGCGCGTATTTCTTTCTGAAAACGCAATTTGTCTCTCTGAAACATGTTTGGATTATTTTTCTTCACACGATTCTGTGAACGAAAATCAATTTTGGCTTAAGCAGATGAAGATTTGCTTCTACGTTTTCAAGAAATTGATTCTAGTAAGTAAATATTTGATTTTCCTCATTTGTCCTCATGAAAGTATTGGAAATCTTCAATTTAAATGGACAACAGAGGATACTGCATCATTCACGTTTTGTCAATGCAGTTGTAAGGTCTATTTTGATAATTATACACTTAAAATCAATTTTGATAACTATTTTTCAAACATCATTTAATATGAAAATCAATTTTCTAATAAATGTACTCAAACAAAAATCACGTTACTTTAAAATCACGTTTACTTAAAATCAATTATACAAAATCACGTTAATCTCAAATCAATTTTACAAACGCAAATCCAAATACGCACTTAGGCCATATGCATGCATTAATTATTATCCCGAGGTATGTGCCAACAAAAATATCAACAATACTGTCATGCTAGCTAGCAGCACGTTGAAATAGAAGGCAGTAAAATTCTACTCTTTTCTCTATTATAAATAAAAAACATATATATAATTTTTAAATTTTAAGTGAATTTTAACTACTTTTTCTCCATATTCTTTGTAAAATATTTATTCTTTAATACATAATATTATAATTACATTATTTCTTTTGATATTTATAATAAGAATATATTATGAGAGTAGTTAAATTTAATAAGAATAACTATTTTTTTTTAATATACATAAATAAAATTAGTTTTCCTAATATGCATAAATAACAGGAGTACTCTACTACGAATCCATTTGCTTTTGTGATCATGTAGTCCAAGTCTTCCGAACCAATAAACGAATCTCATCACCCATAACACAAAGAATTCTACAGTCTACCTATTCATCCAAAAAGAAAGCTACAAGAAACCTATCAATTGCCCCACTACCTTTCCTCCATATAGTATGTAGTTTAATTTTGGGGGGTTCTTCACTCTTAACCATTGCTAATTGCAACATCGGATTCTGCTTTTTGAGCTAGGGGTCCAGGACAAAAACTAAACACTTGTAAAGTGACACGCATATGGTTGTGGTTGAAACTTGTGGGCCCTTCTCAACTCACGAGGCCCAGCATAGTGACATGGGCCTAGTTTGGAGAAAACTGGTGAAGTTAATTAGTAGAGGTGGCACAAGAGCCAAAAAGCCATGGTGATACTGACAAAGGCAGCAATGGCTTGAGATTCCCATACATGTGTACCTGCCGACCAGGATATTTCACTTTGATCCATGGCACCTACATATACCATTGTGCTGTTGTTAAGCTCTGGCGACGCAGAACCACTGCTATCTGATTTCGGGTTTTGCCCCTGCCATGATTTCTGACTGCAAATCCACAATAACAATAATACTATCAAGAAGACAATAGCACAACATGTGATTCTAACATTATTGACTAGATCAGTGAACCTCATGTGCAGTAAATAAATAATACCATATCATGCTAAACGCAACTTATTCAGATTAGATACCTGAAAATACTATTACTATAATAATTGAATTACCCACTTTCCTTCGTCTTTCGTCAAAACTTGCTCCCCTGCCTCATGTGGAATTATGAGCAGTACCGCATTGTCGTCCATTATTTTCAAAACAATTATATGATGATGTATGCAGCTAATTAGTTATATTTGATACAAAAAAAATATTTCTAACATATTTATCCTGCTTGGATAGTGGCGAGTTCTTAGTAGATTGAAATATGGCTTATAGTTTGACAATCACTTTCTTCTGAAATATTAAGCACAACTTTAACTTTCGACATATGACCTGTAATTTCAACAAAATGTTAATTTCGGATGGACAATAATATTGGACCACGATTCTTTTAGAGTAAAATTTCATTTTCTTTCAATTTAGAAGCTCCTGAGTTAAATGAAGAAGATGTACTCAAATGTACTATTCACTTTCAATTATTTGAGTTAGAATTAATTGGCTACACGTTGGTTTTACTCTCGCATTAAAAAAGAATATAAGTAGCATCTACGGCCCGAACGAACATGTTTTAAAACAAAAATAAAGTACATATATAATGAAATAACTATTAAAACTAAAATAAATTTACGTTTTAGTTTTTTGGAATTCTATTTTACTTGCAAGTTGCAACTTAGCTTTTAAATTCATTTTTGAGCAAGAATTGATTTATGAATTTATAAATTTGAGTTTTTTTCTATATAATTTTAGTCTTTGAAAGATTAGCTTTATAAACAGCAGACATTCTAAAGAGTTAGATAATTGGCCCCAAGATTTAACGTGGTTGCATACACAAGGCAGGATTCGAACCTCTGACCTTACTTAAACGTAAATCAATCCCTACCATTAAACCACACACTTGGAATTTAATATCAGTTATATAATTTTTATGTGCATATATATCTAATTTAGTATAATTATATACAAATAGTGAAAATATAATATTACCTCCTATCATTTTTAATAATAAATAAATTATATAGTAACGTGTGAAGTAAAAAAGGAAAGAAAAAGAGAGGAAAAAATGCGTGAGTGGTGAATCGTGAATCCCAGCACAAGGATGAAGGAAGCAACGCAACGCAACGTTGATATTTAAAAGCGTTAAAGAGGAAGGAAGGAAAATTACCTGGGGTTAGCGTTAGCGGAAGGACAAAAAGTGATGGTGTAATCCGCAGAGGAAGCGCACGTGAACGTGCTGGTCCTGTCATCGTACGCGTAGCTGTAGGCGCGTGGGCAAGCGCTCTTGAAAATCTGCGAGTACGCCGAAGGCTTGCAAGTGTTGGGCGACGCATACGCGCCTCTGCAGCAATACTGCGCTGTCCCGAACGCCTCGCACGCGCTCTTACACGCCACGCTCCCTTTCCCCTCCACGCTCTCAACCCTAAGCTCCGAAGGACACGCGCTGTTCAAGTCCCCCACGCACCCCGTGCTCGTGCACCTCTCGCCGGAGCCCCCCTCAGGCGCCACCAACATCGCCACGTTGTACCCGTCCACCAGGCTCACGTCGAAGAAATCCAGGCCTCCCTCGCCGTCCAGGCTGAACTCGCCCAGCGTTGCCGGCGGCGCCGCGCCATTGCCCGCGCATTCCATCTTCCCCGAGCCGCAGTCGCCCGTCAGGCAGGAGAATTTTCCGGCCGAGTCTTGGCTGCAGAGAGTGCGGCCCCAGAAGCGGCCGCCCCAAGAGGTGGGAGCGGTTATGGTTTTGGACTCGCCGGTTTGGAGAGCGAAACCGGTGACCGGAAGCGGCGGAACTCCGGCGTTTGAGAGAATGCCTGGCCACACCGTGTAGTCGCATTTGTTAATGACGGTGAACGTTGTTGTTGATGCTACACCTGCACCCAAATTAGTTAACTGTTTAAGTATCTATCAGCCAAAGTTTGGTTTTAGCGTTTTTGTTACTTGTCACTTTGCTATTTACCTGATGCTAATAGTAATAGATGCAGTGTTAGTGAGAATGGAAATGGTAGTGTCAACTGATCCATGTTATGAGAATCGAATCGACTAGAATCAACGGTGAGATAGCTAGATAGTCTGAAAATATAAAGGAACGGAGCTGGGAACGATGGCTATTTATAAAGGAATATTGTGAAGTGAATATAATTCTTTTTGCAAAATGTTTATCAAAAGGAAAAAAAAAATTATTTTTACAAGAGAAAAATCTACGAAAATGTGGTATGATTCCGTAAAAAATACTAATGATTTTCCCCGGATTTTACTGGGGGACCCATCTGGTTCCGGGGAGCACTCACGTGGTAATCCAGTATCAATTTTGTAACGTTCGGCTTCATTTTATTTCATTTATTACTTATTCACACTTTTAAAAAAGTATTGAATGCTATATTGAATGGGGAAAAAAAATCTAAGTATAAGAATTTTTTTACTTTCTTTTGTTTCTGTTAATCTAAATAATGCGGCATTTTCATTTTATTTATTTTCCATTTCTATTCATTCTGTTTTATCTCCTATCAATTTGGTTTCCAATTCAAGCAAATCACCGTAGTTGGGAGGAAGAAAGGTTGAAAAATCCACCGAAGACACAACCTTGAAGAACAAGGAAAGCCATAAATGCGTACACAGTTACCCACAGAGGCACAACTTACAAGACTCACAACCAATGATCATCACACACACACAGAATGGTTATCAAGACTTGAAAGTTGGGTGGAAAAAAGTCTGAAACATCAACCGAAGCCACCACCTTGAACTTGAATACCAAAATTACCAGTGAATACGGGGATCGGGATATTAATAAACTTCAACTTCATTCGTTAGAAATTGGTATCAATGGATCGATTGTATAAGGAAACAACACACAAGATGAACAAAAAGAGGTCCCACGGCGACACAAAATCTATGGACAAAATAAATTTCATCACAAAGCACTTTATCTCCCCTGCCCACTCTTTATTTTTTCGGAGTTACAGAAAGTAATCTACCTTTTTAATAAAATCACATCATCACCATAAAGAAAGATTAAATAAAGTATATTAAACAACTGTAAGACAAAAAATGACCTCATCTTATCATATTCAGCATCCAATTAGCTCCACAAATTTCTGTATGTTTTTAATGACTATTGTTTTCAGAAGGATAATGACCAAGTCGATGTGATCTTCATAATTTTAAAAGCTCAATTGATGTTTTACATGCTTGCATATATCCCATGTATACTCTTATTTTAATTTTAATGATTAGTAGCACGAATATAGGTGCACTCCACCTTCTAGTATAAAATTGCCTATTCAGCAAAATGTTTCGTATATTGAAGTGAAGGAAGGCGTCTTATATATGTTTCAAGCTTATTCTCCTTCCCAAAACATAAATTATTTTTAATTTTCCCCTCCTAATAAATAAATTTTTTCATCGGTCCCTTAGCCAATCTATGCTTTACCTAGCTCCATTTGGATACTTCTAACATTGTCATATCTGCAAGAACATTTCGATGTTATAAATATTATGTCAAAGTAAGGTCATGTGTTTCATGTTTGAGAAACTAGCCAAGACACTGATTTGGCTTTGTCTTACACCAATAATGTAACCCCGTCATTGTTCATTATAGCCAGTATGTAGATTACAAATTGGTGACAGAGTTCTCAGTGCATTCAAGATCTGATTGATTTTTCTTTATTCAAAACGGAACTTAAAGTATAAAAGCACCGCTGCAAGGACTACTAACTTTTCCCGTTGAGTTTAGGTGTCAAGAAGTTCTGGGATATTTAACTATGTTAAATACTCGGTAAAAAAAATTTATTGCTCACAGTGATCTTATACAATTCAAAGAAGATTATTTTCCGTGAAAGATACCTAAAGTCTATATACCAAACAATTTGAAGTTGTCCAAACGCTGGCCAAGTTTACCTCAAGGTTGATCCACAATCTTATCTATCAATTCAATTGTAGGTGTTGCATTTTGGTATGCTACCTAGACTACCAAACTGAAGTCTTTGGGGGGGAGGTCATTTTATACTCCCCAAACTCACTTTTGTTAGTGTTGAATGGCATTTTGTAGAAAGTAATCATGTTTAGTTTTTTATCTTCTATTACAGTCTCAACACACTAACCTTGTCCTACAATTCTGCATGTGTTACAATTCTGCATGCGATTCGATTTGTTTTATGTTCAAAAGAAGTTGATCTAAAAGAGCTTAGCGCGCGCGCAGCAATCCATATTTTCTCACCAAAGTTTTGTTTAGATAAAACTTATTTGTAAACATTTAACATGGCAAGAAAATAAAAAGATAAAATAAATCTCTTTCATAAATTAAAATTAATTTAGGCATTTTAATTTTTATAGAAGTTTCTTTCATTTGATTTTTTTCTCAAATTTCTGCTATTCTTTGTCATACTTGTTTTTAACATAAAGAATACAACTATTATAATGATAGTCTTATCTCAACGAATAATAATACCAAGAGATTTTTTTAATTAAAGAGAGAAATTAAAAAAAATCAAATAAAATTTTTCTCTTATTTGATAGTTTTATATAAATAAATAAATAAAATGAGTAATGGGTGTTGGAACAAAACTTCAGGTCTCCTAAAAAATACTACCCCTTAAGAAAAATAAAATTTGAAATGAAATGAAACAGAAAATCCTTCCTGTGTGTTTGAACGTTAAATTTTAGAAATTTAAGAAAATTAAAATTTTTAGACAAATATATATATATATATATATATATATATATATATATTACATATTT